AGGTGGGTCAGGCGGTTCCACATAGATAGTGTGTATTTGAGGCTGGAGGCTAAGCCTAATACCAAGGATCTTGTTTAGGAAAAAGCTCTGTAGCTCTGTGCACAAAGCAACAGTGGGATTTAGACCATCAGACTCATTTAACAGCAGCAAGGAGTTGATTGTACTATACAGCCTAGACTGGTCTCCTTGATGCTGTGAAATGATAGCAGAAAAATAGTTATTACGAGCAGATCTAACTGCTCTCTGGTAGCGTGAAAGTGCATCAGCCAGGAGCAGCCGAGAGCATGACAGTCTGTCTCTCTTCCACAAGTACCCTACACTGTTGCCTGAGGCTACAGGTGTAATCATTCAGCCAAGGGTCGGATGTTGTCTGTTTCCGCCTCGGTCTTAGAGGGGCAACAGCATCCAGAGCAGCAGAGCAGGTCACACTGAACCGATGCAGAAGGCCATCTACATCCATGCTGGAAACTGACAAGGGCGGAGCGAGGGCATCAGTGTCCAAAACTGACAGAAAGTTGGAAGTCGTACTTGGAGATAAGCGCCTGGAGTAACGAGCAGACCGTCGCCAGGCTGGAGGAAGTAGACGTAAGATGCTGAACGTGACCAGCATGGTCAGAAAACGCCACAGGATCCACAGAAAAATCATGCACATCCAGTCCACAAGATAAAACCAAATCCAGGGTGTGAGAGTCAGCATGTGTGGGAACATTTACCAATTGCTGTAGTCCAAATGAGTCTGAAAAATTGATTATTGGTAAAATAATCTCTTTCTCATCACATAAAAAAACAGAAAACAAACGTATTCAGGAGTTAAAAGGAATCATTAAATCTTTAGAGGCATCCACAGAAGAAGAGTTACTGAGCAAATTACGTAAAGCTAAATTAGAACTTCATGGAATTATTGACAAAAAGACACAATTTTTAGCACAAAAACAACAAATAGAAAACTTTGAACATAAATCAGGTAAATTTTTAGCTAACCAGTTAAAAATAAATAAAGAGAAAACTACCATATCTGCTGAGACTCAACCGGGAATATAGTTTATGCTCCTGAAATAATAAAACACTTTCAGAGACTTTTACCAAACTTTGTACTCACCACAGATAAACCCATCAGATAACAAGATCAATGAGTTCCTTGACAGGATAACACTTCCTAAATTATAGGATAGCCAAGCTGCAGTCCTGGACTCACCACTAAAATCATCTAAGCTCCAGGAAGCACTTAAATCCATGTCTAATAGGAAGGCTCCAGGTCCAGATGGGTTTCCGGCAGAGTTCTACTAAGAATTCTGGATCATTTTGGGTCCATCATTGCCCCGGCGGGGGTGGTCGCCCCGGGTCCCGGGTCGCTGGGTTCCGGGCTCGGCCGACTGGGGTGTGGGAGGCTGCGGATGGGCCTGTGGAATTGCTGCTGATATCTGCCTGCTGCTGGTTGTGGCTTCCGGGGCAATCCTCTGTGCCTCTCGAGGGGGGCAGGGGCTTTTCTGGTCGCAGTCTCCCTGGGGTCCCTGTGCTCTGGGGCAGCTCCTGGATCACTGGGACATAGAGCTCCCTCCATCTCCAACACATCTTTGGGGGGCAGATCTGTGGCCCCTCACACTCTCTATTGGACGCTCCTATAGAGAAACCTTACATATACAAGCACGTGTACACGCACAGGTGCTCACATGGTGCTCTCATAAGTATGGACTTGGGTACATTCAACACATGTCTTAAGGCTGTGGTTGGCACTAAATGCACTGTGATTTATTTTCGTGTGACTGTTCAGTAAAACAATGTTGATTTTAAATTTCTTCATCAAGTTGATGCAGTGATAGCTTGCTCCTGATGTATTGTTGTGTGTCCCTTTTCTGCAGGTTTAGATGCAGACTCTTGTTCATCATTGATTGTTTATTTTTGTGGACCCCCCACAAACACACACACACACACCTTTTGTCTCTTCCTTTCTCTTTCACCTCTGTCTCCGTGTCCGGTCGGAGTTGCAAAGCATCCAAAAAACAATAACAATAAAGTTTTAAGTATCATGTGTGACATTTAAAGCAGAAGCTTTGATGCTCCACCTGAGAGTAAATCTGTAAGGCTTGTCACCAGCATTCAGACATTAATCCTGTTTGCTTCACAGCCAGACAGGACATGGAGAAAACAAAATAAAAAGAAATTATGACGGGTAGACAGATGACCCTGCTGCTTCACCGGCTGTATTAGTCAGTTCAGTCCAGTGCCACTCCGGCTT